ACTTTAATGAGTCTAGGATTTCATTCAACAAGTTATTTCTTCAGACCAATAAACTGTTTCAAAAGCATCTTTTACTGTCTAAAACGTTCATATTAAGACAATTTTGAGCAATGTCACACATAGAGTAGCAGTTTTATAACTTCAAGTTCTTGTTTCAGATGTAATGAAACGCAGTACTTGTGTAAGAATGTATGTTCTAAGGCAAAATGGATTTTTAACATAAAAATTTAACTGCATGCATCTCCTTAGCGACAAGATCTTTTTTGACTCCATGATTTTATTTCATGAGTTTCATAGGGTCTACTCATATGTTTTAAGTCAAACATGCAATTAATTAAGTCCTTGTCTAAACAGGGTTGTTGAGTAACCACTTTCACTTGCATGTATTTGGTGTCTTAAAAGATGGAGACTGTGTTTAATGAAATATCATTGTGCTTGCTAATTTTTTATTAGATGTGAGTGTTTAAAGCAAAATAAAAAGCTTCCTGTTCTTTGAATCAGATATATACAGTTGCAATAAAGTCGTTATTTCTGTTTAAGTGGAGGTTCAAACTCTGAACAGGGGTAGACTTCTTACATGAGGAAACCAAGAGGAGTTTATTTGTTATTTATCAGCTGACATGGACAAAATGAGGAGGGGTATCTCACTGGTGTTAGAAAGAGGAGCTCAGAAAGCTGGGGTATTGCAAGGAAGTTGGAAGAGTGTGGTTTCTTATGTGAAATGTATATGGGAGAAGCAACATTTACAGGAACTGAGGTATCACTGTTACAAGTATCTTGATGGAATAGTTCACATGGGATTTGTAGAGGTAGATGTTGTAAAAAGCCTGGAAGGTAGTGGTTAGGAGCGTTCATTTCATGAGGCAGTGGTCTCCAGAGAATTAGTTTCTCATAGTGTATGCACAGAAAATTGGCTGAGTCTCTGAGGAGCATCTGGAGGCAGATGTCTCAGGAAAGCGTAGTAGGGAAGGATGATACCAGTAGTCTTTACAAACTACCTGATTTGTTCCATAGCTGCTTCTTCAAGACAGGAGAGGTAAAGTTAGCTTCTCTAATGTGCGTTTACATTTGCTTTTTTCTATATGGAATATGATTTGGCAGTCTTTTAGTCTTTCAGGTTTTTTATTCCACCTGTGGAGATAGTAGTTCCAACAGATGGCAATTCAAGCACCAACACTGCACAGCTGTTAATGAGAAGGAAATTAACTGTTTCTGCAGGCTCACTGGACTTCTGAGTCACTGCCTGAAAACCACAGGCAAAGAATTTCTTCTCAGAGGTTGGGAGGAGAAAGACAAAACAAATGTCTTGGATGTCTCTTGCATCCTAAATTATTCTAATTAGATTTGCCTAGTGACCTGCTGAAAAATTCAGGTCTTTCCTCAGAGAAGCATAATAGAATGGAAACTAAAGGTTTTTTTCCTAGCTTTTGCTTAGGAGGGAAAGAAAGAATAAAAATTATAGGAAAGCTAAAATATGATAACATATTCAAAGTTGGTTACAGTAGTAACACAGTGATAGACTTAGTCATCACTAAGTTTGGATTTTCTATAAGTAATAAGTAATTTCTGGTACACATTTTCTCACAAGTTACTGAGTGGTGTTGTGTATGCAGGATATTCATAGCCTTGATGAATCCTACTACCTGGGTATTAGTGTATCTGTGGAAAAATTTGTTTAAAAAGTCTCTAAGATAAATGTATGTGTCTTACAAATGTTATATATATTCTGCATATACCCTAGCATTTGAGTGTATTCAAGAGTGTGTAAGCTTCCTGGTTGGTCTGAACAATTCTTATGCTAGTACATTACCACTAGGGCTTACTATTTTTCCTCTTTGTGTAGTTGCAACAACCGTTTGTTGCAGCACACTGTGCTTTCTGCATTATTGTGCCAGCTTCCACCACATTTTCAGTCTCTATAGCGACAGTTTCTCAGCAACTCAGAGATGCTTAGTAAAGGCCCCTCGATTTAGAAATATTACACTCCAACCATAAGAAAAAATTGCTTTGAAACAAAGATCAAAGAAGTTTTATCTTTAATAATTCAGGATATTTATTACTAATTAATTAGTGTTCTCTGTTTTGACTGCTTAGACAATTACCTGATACTTTGATCTGGGCCTTCGCCAGGCATTTGTTGTGAACAGCATTCATTTAAAAGCAGAACCTTTAGAACTGTGTCTTGAAGTCAACTTTTAAGTGGTGTAAAACTCCCGGACTTCTCTGGCCATGTCGTCTGACTTCTGGGCCTTCAGTAAGCAGCTGAGAGAAAGGTAAGCACCGTTACCATATTTAAGAGGAGGCAATAATTTTGGCCTTTCAACACAGCATAGAATGTTTTCATTCTTCACAGGAAACAAAAGTAGTTGTAGTTTATTTTGTAGTTTATTTTATGCATATTTAAAATGTTGATCATATGTTGTCTCTTTTCAAAAGAAGGAAGGCCTCTGTAATCAAGTCAATTGATCTTTTGGAAGATTTCTGTCTTACTTCATCTGGTTTGTCTTTCTTTGCACTTTAACTTAGTTATGTAACGTATTTAAAAATGCATTTTATTTGCTAAAATACATATTCTGAGAACCTGTATAGGCAAATGAAATACATATAAGTAATCAAACATGTTACTTTTCTTGCACATTCCGTTAGGATTCAAGAATAAGGCTGCTCTTGTTCTGCACATAACAGTATTTGTGTTAATGTGATCAGGGTTCATAATTGTAAAAATTTATTTCCTGTGCATTTGTAATTAATTTTAAAATTATTTTTTGCTCTGTGAAAGTGTTTTTGATTATTAATACAGGCCACATGTAGCTGAAATACAGCACACTGATTGAAATAGTGTATCAACGAGCACAGTTAGTTTGCGTTTGATGTTTTTGGCAGGCAGATGCTGCTTCTACTTTCGTGTGATGTTCAGCGTAAAGTAGATGTGCTAACACTGAAGTAGATCCTGTTCATTTCCCCCAAGCACTCCTACTGCAGTCAAGATCTGGACTCTCTGTAGAGTTTTGTATATAAAAATGCAGACTGTACATATGTTAATAATGCCTTTCATAACTTTTTGAAAGGAGAGTTCATGGGTATGATGTTAAGATGTTGCACAGTGACAGCCAGTTTGGTTTGGGGCCATGAGTACCCTGGTACAAGAGTATAGTGTGCTTATCCATATGGGTAATTTAAAGGTGAGGCATTGTACTGTACTGGATAGAGAGCTTCTCATCTTGCAGTATCAAGTGCTAATAGCTTATGCATGCTGCGTAATTCAGTGACATCAGTGGATCTGTTCTTGTTCGAGTGAGCAAATTCTAATGAGTGAGCTCTAATTTGAGTTAATTTAACCTGTATATTTTTACATTCACCCTCCTGCTTTATTTTATGTACCTTTAGTGGAGAGAAAAAAAGCAGGAAAACATAAGGCAAGCTGTGCATTTGTACGTCTGTCTTTTAGGTTGCTACATGTAGCTTACATTAAATGTTTGTGTTTAATTCACTGCGTAGAATCTTCTGATTTCATGGATTTGCCTACACTGACTTTTCTGTCAAGCTATGCAAAGGCATATGCTGCCGCACCCATTTTAGGAGTAATTATATAAGCAAATTTACGTGCCTATGTAAATATTGGGCAGAACTGCGGTCTTGCAGAACCCAGGATTGAGTCCAAGCGCTAAACCTTAGTAAGGAAAAAAACAGAAGAATAGTGAAAAAGAAACATTGGGGTATTTCTTTCAAAGAAGGACTTGAATAAAAACTGTGACATTGTAGTCTTTAATGAAGAAGTTATTAAAGCAAATCTGTATCCCATCATTTTAAATATTTATAGATTATTTAGAGGCTGAAACACAAAGTTGCAGCTTTCACCAATTAAAATGGTGAGCAGCATATTTATGGTAGACTCAATGATTATAGATCATTGAATATGCTTCATACTTGGCCAGTATTCTGTCACATTTATGACAAATGATCAATGACTCTCAGTGGAAAAATGTACTAAAGTGAAACTTTGGGTAAGTTCAGATTTAATACCAATTTATTGTTTAAGTTTTAGATAGTTACCAACTATTTAGTTTTTATTTATTCTAGTAAATTTCCTTTTTTTTCCCCACTAAAAGCCATATATGTGACCTGTGGAGTCTTATGTAACTTAGATCTGTTATACCTAGTGTTTTTCAACTGTAGTATAGATAATTACTATACTGAATTTATATTTATATTTTTGTTTAAAAATATAATGTAGTTTAAAGCATTAATGGATTAAATCCTGAGGGGAGACATTCAGGGACAAAATTACTTTTGCTTTCAGGGTTGTGTAAAGAAGTAGATTCATGGTTATGCTTCCTTTTTCCCTTCCTTCTCAGCTCAAAAAGAAATAATGTCAGCTCAGCTGAAAACTTTATTTCAGTTTGAAAATTTTTGAAAATATGAGCAATTGCAATCAATGAATCTTGGGAAGAGTCTAGTGTAAAGGCATGCCCTCTCTGACCTGAAATGATGCACTATGGACTGTGTAGTAATCCTGTATGTAAACGCTGGACTCTTCAATAGTGAGAGATCCCATTTCCTGTACTTGAAACGGTTTTGGGGGCTGTTTTCACCTGGTACAATTTTGCAGTTACCAGAGTTACTTCTACTTTATCCTGAGCAGAGAGCATGCAGAGTATGCAATTTTCTGGAGTTTCTCTACACTTGGCATCAAAACTATTATGTTGGGTTTTTTTTGTATTTCTGTTTAATTTAATCTCTGAAATGCATCCAGTAAATTGTTCAGATTAAAAGGTTTGATTTGAATGGTTTGATATGTCTCTGTCTAGAAAATGTGGTTTTACACTTTGGTTTGGTTTGTTATAGACCGCCTATTGCCATCTGTTCATTTCAAATGGATCCAGACTTGCAGGGTAAGGATTTTTCTCTTTTTTTTTTCCAGCTTTTCTCAAGAGACTTTTCTGTGTATGGACAGAAACTAATGAATTGTAGTGAAGTCATGCCACTTTCAGAATCTCTGTGCTGTATATAACACATAAATGACAAATTACACAGTTGTGCTGTCCTACCTTTATCATTGGATCTGTCCTGGCACCTGTCAGGTGGGAATAGTCAGGCGCACAGAGGCCATGTTCCCTAATTTATAATATAGGATAAGTTTTTTTCATGTGTTCTAGAATAGTTATGAACAGTGGCCATACACTCCCTTTTCCAGTGCAAAATCTTAGCAGATACATCATCTGCTACATAACAAGGAGCGCAGAATGGAGAACTAGTAAGTAACTAGTTGGAGATGTCAGGAAACAATGTACTCTTTTCTGTCCATGTAGGAATTCCTTTGTCATCTTCTCGACAAAGGGCATTTATGGTCTTGAGGGGAAATCTGACCCACTGATGAATGGTTATATGCTGGTTTTCTGTCTGAAGGGGAAGCTCTATTCCTATGAGAAATGAAAGAGTTTAGTGCCTCTAAATAGCCAATCATAAATAATAATCCTAAAATATTTTGTATTTTAGTTGGGATTTTTTTCTTTGTCTGCTGTTTTACTTACGTCTTTTTGCAAGTTAATTCTGCAGCTATTGCTTGACAGGCACAGAATGCCCTATTTGGAGGCCACATTTTGTCTGTAAGGATGGACTTGAAGTGAGTAGCAGATGGCTACTAAAACAGATTTCCTCCACTTAGAAAGTCATCTTGAACATAGAAGGCGTTCGAGTTGGATCGTGTGTATGTTTCTAGCATTTGTATTTGAAAATAAGCATTTGGAATGTAATCCATAACCTACTGAAAACTGAGGGAGCCTTTCTGTTACTTTCAAAAGAGCTTTGGATCAGTTTACTGAAGAAAAAGAACTGATGATGCATGGAAGTCAAAACTCATTTTTCACATTGTATGACATGCTACAGTACATCTCCAAACAATGTCACAAAACATAGCATGACAAGAGCAGGACTAAACAGATGGTATAGCAGATACTGGCTTATTTCTATATCTTAGGAAGCATCTGGGAACCAGCAGAGCCCATAATTTGCTGACTATTAACATTAATCTGGTACATTTGTGGGAAACCATTGCACAGATTGGCTTATTTCCAGACTAAACAGGTAGAGAGTTTCCTGAGTTATTTCTACTCAGTCATGTATATTTATTCCTTATCTTTGACCTTAATCAACTGTGAGTAATTCTTCTTCTCTGAAATATAGGGAGAGTCTCTGAGGACAAGAGGATAACTGATAAATCCCTTTCTAGTTTCTAAAGCTATTGTGAAAAAACCTTTTTTTTTTTTTGTCTTGAAGTTCTAGGTATGTGTGTTAAGTATCAGGTGTAGGTCATGCTCAGAAGCCTTTACTTCCCACTCAGGAAAACATCCTTTAGTGATGTGAAAGGAATGAGCTGAAATCATGTAAGAGTATGGGATTTAGTGGAGCAGCTTGAGTGGGATTACTAAACAGAGATGTCAAAAGCCAGTTGCTCTGGTAAATTGCTTATCTTCTTCTGAGAGAGTCCCAGATGTTGATCTTGACAGAAAATTTGTTTAATGCTTGAAACAATGTGCATCCAAAACAATAACCCTGCTGTGCAGACTGACAAACTGTTCCTTATAGAAGAGCACCTCTGATCAAGAAACTGTTTTGTCTGAAGAAATATTATTTCGTTATGATCTTGGCTAAAAGTATGCACAGTGCATATCCTTTTTTCTGGTCCATGAATAGACTTGATTCCCAAAGGAGCAGGTGTGCTCTCTATGTTAAATGCTGTTTTTATGACTCATCGTATCACTGGTCATAAGAACACCATTTCCCCCACAAAGCTATTGGGAAAAAAAGAAATATTTTTTTTTAATTTTTTTCAAAATTTTCTTTCAAAGTATTGTGGGTTTTGATCACGTCTACAGTTGGTTATTTTGATCTTTAGTTGAACAATTTCTTTCTTTCTTTCTTTCTTTCTTTCTTTCTTTCTTTCTTTCTTTCTTTCTTTCTTTCTTTCTTTCTTTCTTTCTTTCTTTCTTTCTTTCTTTCTTTCTTTCTTTCTTTCTTTCTTTCCTTTCTTTCTTTCTTTCTTTCCTTTTTTCTCATTTAAATGAACCACTCTATTGTAATGTGTGTTTGTTTTCTTTCACAGAGGCTTTCAGTGATGTTCAGAGCTCCGTCTACAGAACAGCCCTAAAACTACGCTCAGTACAAAGTCTGTGCCAGTGTTAGTAGATGGAGAGAATCCTGTGCTTTGACAGGGAGAAGAATCTGCAAAAATTTTGTGCTGCTAGCACTCTCATTTTCCACCTGAGAATCTCAGAATGTGTTGTGAACGCTTAAGAACTAGATAGTACTTCATATACAAATCAATTTTTTTTCCCCTTTTGAATGTCAGAGGAAATACATTAATAAAATTCTAAATAAAATCAAATTATTATTACAATCTGCAACACTGCTATGTAGACATCACTGGCAATTATGAATCTTTATCTGTATATTATTATTCTTGTTAAATGTCAAATTCTCATGTGTTTCTTAGGAGTTGATTTATTGGAAATAATCATGGATCATCAAAAATGCATTGACATGCATTATTATTTACACTATAAGTATTAATGAGAACAAAATAAAATATGATAGACCAGTGCTGGCTAGCACTCCTTCTCTCTGTCTTTGAAGTCAGTGAGAATTCTGTGCAAGCAAAGAATTGTGGAACAAAGCCCTGGTCACCTAGCTTGCTTTGAAATTACTGGATATAAATCGCATATTGAGTTGAAATGCATGGAAATCTTGAATTTTCCACCTGAAACAGTCTGTTACTGAAAATGCACAACATTGCAAGTGAGGTCTTCAGGGTAGCACAGAAAAGATGACTCGTTTGTTGGCCTTGGCCATATTTTTTTATTTGGGCATGCTCTTCTAGGAATGTATTTAGTCTGATCTCAGCTCCTGTTAACGGTAAATCTGCCTGGTGCTATGTGTCATAGCATGGAAGTGTCAAGTCATGCAGGTACTGGTTTTCGTTAGCTCTGTTGCCTAGTCCTCCATGTCTCCTCTAGGCACTCATAGCATCTATCCCAGTTACTCTACTCCTCCTTGAACACTGGTGACCAGAATTGCACATGGGTTTCCAGATTGAGATTCACTAGTGTCTCATGCTGATATTTTCCCATTTGTGCTGGAAAGACCATAGATGACATATTGTAGGTTCTCTGCTTCTTCAGCAATCTACAAACTTTCAATCTGCTACAATCTTTCTCTTCTGGTGTTAATTCTAATTAACCATGCCTCTGTGGTAGTGAATGTGACCTTTCGGAAGCCATAGCTCTCTCTTCCCACTGGATATTAGTTATTTTATGGTACATTTATAAGACAGCCTGTTTGCCCCTTTCTTGGCCATAGTGCCCTTCTCCTCTTTGTATTTGTGCATGAGGAGAAAGGCTACATCAAAGCAGTCCCAGGTGAGCTTTGTTTTGAAGTACTCAGAAGTAATCGGTGGTGTGTAGTTTTATACTATCTATATATAGAATGAAATTATAATCTGGATACAGTTAATCATGCTATTTTCCGTCCCTTCCTGTCTATCTCAAAATCACATCCAGGGCATTTTAGTTGAGCTGTTCTATCTTTGTAGCCTCACAAGTTTTACTACATCCATAACCCCAGCAAGACCTTTCCCAGATTATTTCGTTTTTATGTTGCACTCTGTTCTAGACTTCATTTTACAGACTTGTTTTAGCTAGGCACTTCTAATAAAAAAACATCGAGCTTCCATTCATGAAAAGGCAGTGATCCTCATTCATTTCTCCCTTAATTTCCCCACAGTGGATTTGATTGATGTTTCTCTGATTCAGCACATCCTATCAAGTGAACAGAGCCAGAGGAAAAAGCAGATTTCTCTGAAAGTGCAGCAGATCTCTGAAATGCTGACAGAACTGTTCCAAAGGGCGAGATTGGAAAAACCAGGCCAGGTAGATCCAAGAGCTGCTGAATTCACGTTGAGCCTGCTAACTGCCATGTATGACAGGTGAGAGGAAGCACAAACGTAAATCCATCACGAAGTACTGCTAGACCAAATCTGTTTCCACCACTCTAACACCATTTTTGTATAAAACTCTCCCATTTTGATGGTATTTTGCTTGGTATACATGATGGGAATAGTTCAGCTGTAGGAATATGAGGCACAAAATTTTATCAGAGAAACAGTGGTCAGATGTCTGTAAGTCCACGTCTGCCAGTCCATGCTAACTTTTCCTGTGAACAGCTTTACAGAGAGTAGCTCTTCTTTTGAATGCCAAGATGTTTTGATACACTACTGAAAAAAAATCCATATTTGCCTTTGAATGACAGTATCCATGCACAGGTCAAGAATTTGCCAGTCACTTTTCATTATTCATTTTTCTCCAGCTTAAGAAGTTCATTAGCCAATTATGAAACAAAACTAAGCTGACCAGCTGGCCCCTGTGAATAGCAAATAGTTTCTGGGAATAGTAAGGAAATAGCTTGCAGAGTATAATTTTCTCATGTATTGTTTGTGAATAATGAACTATTTCACTAAAGGCAGGATTGGTTTGTGATTGTATCAGATTTAAAAGACAAAGGCTAATTTCATTGTAGAATTTATTCATCACAGGTGAAATTTATTCCCTTCTATATCAGAGCAAAGTTTTTTACTGAAACTGAGTGAGACACAAGTGGTCTGCATGGCTTTTTCTTTAATCACTGTTAATTAATAATATGATCACTACTGCTTAAGGTCCCATGTTAGGAATTTTTTTGTACTTAAAAAAAATCAATTAAGGCTAAGAATAAACTGTTGTGTTATGAAACAAAGCTAGAAACACGAGG